CACCTCGCCTAGGGTTTTCCACGGGCTTCATCTCTCAAGGCTTTGGTTCGGCCCGTCCAAGCTTCTTTACGGCTCGGCCCATCTAGCCTTCTTCACGGCTCGGCCCACTTGCCATGGAGACATGATCTAGCCCACCGCACCGATACACGGCTCGGCCCAAAAGTGTCGAAGTGGGGCTCGGCCCATTTCTTTCGATGCGGCTCGGTCCACCTGTCTTCTTTCACGGCTCTCCCTACTGGCCTATCTGCACGGCTCTCCCATTTGTCTTGGTGAGAACGGTTCTCCACTTGTCATGGTGAGAACAGCTCTCCCTCTTGGCGACCACGGCTCTCCCACTTGGCGACCACGGCTCTCCCACTTGGCGACCACGGCTCTCCCACTTATCTTTCTTCCATACTTAGCCATTCTGAGGTGGTTTATCTACTTGGGGTGAAAACCGACCCCAACAGTTAGCCCCCCAGCTCGTCAGTTTCGGAGGCGAGAGTGACGAGGTCCATTATTTCCGACCGTAGGATAAACCACTGAGTTAGACCCCGAGGCGTTTTGGGAATGAAGACGCCGAGGCGTTCTGGGAATGAAGGCGCCAAGGCGTTTTGGGAATGAAGACGCCGAGGCGTTCCCAAGGAGTGCCAAGGATGCCGAGGTGTTCGAGACGGTACCGAAGATGCCGAGGCAAGATTAAGGACGAGGCGATTTTTTTTTTAATAGTGATAGCCCATGACGAGGTGATTTGAGGAGGTTATGCCGAGCCGAACAAATGGCGAGGCGTTTCGAGAGAAAGCTCGTGCCGAGCTGTTTTGTTAGCGGCAACACATCTCAAGAAAGAATGTCAATGCCGAGCCGTTTTGTTAACGACGAGGCGTTTCAAGAAACAGATTCAACGCCGAGCCGTAGATGACGAGCCGTTGGCTTCGACGAGCCGTCCCCAGGACCCGGTTCCTGATGAAGGTGTTAATCACGCCATAGTAAATGCCGAGGAGGAAGCATTTCCCTTTGACCTACTCGAGGCGAAGTACGAGTTGGAACGTCTCATGGCGTCCCGAGGCGCTTCCACATCTGGGCGAGGGCCACGAGTTAAAAGACAAAAGCCTGATCCGCCTGGCTCTACGCTTTTTTCCCTTGAGTCGCTCGAGGCGTTGAGGCATCGCTTTGGGATATCCGAGGCGGTGGAGTTTGTCGTTCCCGAGAAGAGCGACCGAGCCGACAAGCCTCCAGAGAATCACTTCACTCTGTACGAGGAGTTCTTCGAGCTTTGCTTTCTCTGGTTCCCGATCCCCGGAGTGATCCTCGAATACCTTTGGAAACACGGGATCTCGATTGGGCAGATTATGCCGAGGGGATTACGGCATATGATCGGCGTTTTACTTCGAAGCTTCGAATGCGGTCTTGACATCGAGCTGACATCGAAGCGACGGATTATTGGCAGTTTTCCCAGCAAGGATCAGTTTTGGACTGAACGCTTCTTCTACGTCTTGGTGAACAAGGCATCAGTCGGCGAAGATTACGTTCACCGAACCAAGACTGCTTGGGGACCACTTGGTAGCCGACCTGAAGCTTTGCCTCGGCTCGGAGATTCAGTTGATATTCTCTTCCTTATATGAAACTTTTGCTTTTTTGCTTTGTTTTGCAGTTCGGTGCTATCTTCCCCCGATTCCCGGCGACCACTTTACTGTTCGAGACTCTCTTTCGGCACGGAAGGTTAATTGGAGAAAAAACTTCACCCTCGAAAGAGTAGAAAAAGCGTGAGCCATCCTTGCCGGAGTCCCCGTCAGTTCTTCATCCTCAAGTTCTTCGAGAGATACCCGGGAGAAGATGGTGGTGATCGCCCTTAGAGAAAGGAAGAGGCGCGAGGAAGAGGAAGCCGCTAGACGAGCTGCCGAGGCGGCTCGCGCGCAAACCGGGGCGGTTCCGGCGCAAGCCGAGGCGGTCCTTCAACCCGACCCTCCGAGCCGGGAAGGGGATGTGATGATCCGAGCCGCAGAAGGCGACACTGCCGAGGCGGCTGAGAAAGACGTAGTGCACGAGGTGGAACCGGGCGAAATAATCCCCGAGGTGTCCGGGGACGGCTCGGCGGCGCGGAGTAAGACTCCTTCGCAATCCGCCATCCTGGCCCTCCCGAAGTCGACGAGGCCACCGACTTCGGTCGTCCAGAAGCACTACTCTAGCCAAAAACGTTCGGCTACTGACAAGGGGAAAGGCGTCACCGTCCAGAAGGACGAGCCGTCCAAGAAGAGGCGGAAATTGGTTGTTGATGACCCGGGGACCCCACTGCGCGTAAATTGGTTGTTGATGACCTCGACGCTTCTGCCGTCATGTTCTCGCGTGTAAATAACGCGAACACGCGTCTTCCTCCTCCGGAGAAGCTGAGGAGGCCGAGGTCATACGGCGCGATGGCGCAGCGTGGTACCAAGGTACGTTTCTATTTGCTGTCCTATAGTTTTGTAAACTTTTGCTAAGTATTTAACGCGAGTTTGTTCTTTGCAGTTTGTCGTGGCCATTAACGACCTGATGGCCGAGTATCAGGCGAACCTGTCTAAGGTCGAACGTCGCTTGGACGAGGCCCAAAATGAGACCGCGGCGTCAAAGGTGAAGCTGGAAGAGGCGCAAAACAAAGCCGCAGCAGCGAAGGGGAAACTCACCGAGGCGATGACCCGAGTGTCGAGGTTGGAAGAGGAGAAGATAGTTCTTCGAGCAGACGTCAACAAAGTTTCCGCCTCGGTGATTCGCCTGGAGGAAGCAAGGAGAGCCAAAAGCGCCGAGGTGGCGTTGCTTAAAAGGCGTATCGAGGCCAAGGACGCGCTGTTAGAAGCCAAGGTCAAACGCGCGAAGAAGGAGGCGAGGCGCGAGCTGACGGCGAAGTTTCAGGAACGCCTTGCCAAGGTCGAGGAGGGTTTGGTCAAGCTCGAGAAGGCCAAAAATGATGGGAACGATCTGGGACAGATCAAGGGCAATCTTGCGATGATTGCCGACCTGAAGAAGCCGGACGCCCCGACGCTTGATGACGAGGAGGCGAAGCTGAAAAGCTGGGAGAGTGAGTATGCCGACAACGAGGCGTACGAGCGTATTGCTTCCGAGATTCGTGGCGAGCTGTATTACTCTCCCGTATCGCCGGACTCGGTCGACACCACCCTCGGCAACGAGCCGCTCGAAGAGACAGCGACCAACTTAGGCGTGGTGGATCCGAACGGATCAAACGCGGGCAGGCCAGTCCTCTCAAACCTCCTCGCCGAACGTGAGACGCAGTCCGCGGCCTGATACCCTCTGCTTTTCCCTGTTTCGTCTTTCATGCTTTTGTGCTTAGGTTTTTTGTACGTTTTTGAACTCTTTTTGTAACGATGCCTGGACGGCTTTATCCACCCGACATTCATTTTTGCTTATGGATATATTTTCTCCTTTAGCTGTTCCTCGTTTGGATGCACTTATTTTTAATGACTTGTGCAAATATCTGTGAAAACCAATGGCTTAGAGAAGATTGTCAAGAATGATTTTGATTGCTTCCTTAACCGAATTCTTCGAAATCGATAGAAAGACGGGCTAAGGGTTGAGTTGTTTAAGGGTCTCGTTTGTATTCTTAATCCCGAGCTGGGAGTTAGTTTTGTGGAACATCCTTTAGGTGATGCTGGAAAGATTTTAAGTGATAATGTTGCAGCAAATTTTCGTAGCAACGCCGAGCCGTTTTTAACGACGAGGCGTTTTCGCCGTGCATGGTGCCGAGCCGTGTAAACGACGAGGCGTTTTCTCTTTGCATGGCGCCGAGCCGTGTAAACGGCGAGGCATTTTCGCTTTTCGTGGTGCAGAGCCGTGTAAACGACGAGGCATTTTCTCTTTACGTGGTGCCGAGCCGTGTAAACGACGAGGCGTTTTCGCTTTGGTTAGCCAAGGATGAAGTGTTATCGATCCTGACTAATGGACCGGTGTTTCCGAGAGGAAGAGTATGTTTATCCGGGTTTTAAGAGTTTACTTCGGTTTTAGAGAAAGCGATGTAGTCTCGACTTATATTCTCGTGCGATAGTAAACCGTGGCGACCTGATACGTTTTCGGTCTGATATTTGTATAGCGCGCTTCATTGTTATCCATAGAGGGTGTAACTTACACCCTCGTCCTAGGAAAGGTGGTGAAAGTCCGTTTAGAGAACTTTGTATTTGTTGCCCTGTTGTGGCCAGCAACGAGACGATGCGTTCGGAGGCTTAGTTTGCCGAATTGAAACTGAGGACCAACAAAGGTCCAAGGTAATCAGGTCATGATATCATGCCGAAGTGGTATGATTTCTCGCCAAAGTGATAAGTGAAAGTATTTAAAAATCCGAGCTTGTTAAACTAAGTTGCTGACTTAGAAAGAGTGAGACACTAGCCGAATCGATAATGAACAAACTAGAAAAATCCAAAATGAGATTCGAAATGAGCTGAGAATGTGCCGAAGTGGCGATGTTCCTAAGTAGCGAGCTAAAACAGCTAAAAATTGACGAGTTTAAAAGAGGTATGTGTATACGTACCCACTCCCCCCCCCCCTTTTTAGGAGGGGGGACAGCTGAACCCGTCAGAGGACGGGCTGCCTACGTACCCTTTGCAGGGATCAAGCCGTCCCGTAGTTCATGCTGGTCGTGCTGCATCCTTAGTGATAGTATTTCTTCAGATGCAATGCGTTCCACGATCTTGGAATCGCCTCGTCAGCTAGTGTCGCGAGTTCGTAGACTCTTGGACGAACCACTTTTGTGACCTTGTAAGGACCTTCCCAATTTGCTCCGAGCTTTCCTGCGTTCTTCTCGGCAGTGTTTTGGAAGACCTTTCGGAGGACGAGCTCCCCTGTTTTGAATCTTTGACTTCGAACGTTTTTGTTGTAGTATCTCGCCGTCGCTTGTTGATAGTTCTTGATTCGAATTAAGGCTTGATCGCGCTTCTCGTTGATTAGGTCGAGCTCATCTAGCATCATTAAGTGGTTCAAGCCCTCCTGTCCTGGTAGAAGTCTTCGTCGGATACCTGGGAAATCCACTTCGGGGGGAATTACGCACTCCGATCCGTAAACCAAAGCGAATGAGTTTCCCCGGTGGCTCGGCGCGGAGTTGTCCGATGAGACCAAAGGACTCCTTCGAGTTCGTCTGCCCACCGTCCCTTCTTGGCGTCGAGCCTCTTTTTCAGACCGTCGAGGATCGCCTTATTGGCTGCTTCGGCTTGTCCGTTCCCTTGAGGGTATCTTGGCGTAGATTTGCTGAGGCGGATTTTCCACTTTTCGCAGAAGGCTTCAAAGCGTGTTGAGATCAACTGGGATCCGTTGTCGGTGACTATCTCGTAAGGGACCCCATGGCGTCAGATGATATTTTTCCAGACGAAGTGTTCGACTTGAATATCCTTTATGCTTGCGTAAAAGTCGGCCTCGACCCACTTGGAGAAGTAATCCGTGAGGACGAGCAGAAAACGCTTCTGCTTCGAGCGATGTAGAGGTCCGACGATGTCTATCGACCATCTCATGAACGGATAAGGTGACGAAATTGACAAGAGCAACTCGGTAGGTTGATGAATTGTTGGAGCGTGCCGCTGACATTTCTCGCACTTCGCCGTAAATTTCTCGCAGTCCTTGACCATCGTGGGCCAGAAATAGCCGTGCCGTTTTATCTTGATAGCGAGAGACCTTCCGCTGGAGTGGTTCCCGCACGCGCCGCTGTGCACCTCGTGCATGATCTTTCTTGCCTCCGGTCCTTCGACATATGTCATGAGAGGCCCTGAAAATCTCCATTTAAACACCTCGCCATCGACGAGGACATACCGTGCGGCCTGAGCTTTTAGTTTGCGGGCTTCCCATTTGTCAGTTGGCACCTCTCCATCGGCGATGTACACTCGGATAGCTCCGAGCCATTCTTTGTCGCAGCCGTACTCCGGCTCGGCCGGTGAGGCGTCTTCATCCATTGGAATGGCTTCTTCGTCCTCTGGTTCTTGTTCAGGAGGATTTATCAGCCGAACTCCTTCCACTTCTTCGATGCTAGGACGTTCGATGAATTCGACTGGGATCGTCCGTCAGAGATCTGGGTCTGAGGTCGAAGCGAGTGCTGCCAAAGCGTCAGCCGAGGTGTTTAATCCTCGGGGAATTCGCGTGAGTTCGAACTCGTCGAATTTTTGCATTAACTCTCGAACCACCTTGAGGTAAGCTCCCATTCGTCCATCCTTTGCTTCATATTCTCCGTTAAACTGGCATGCTATGAGCTGTGAATCACAAAAAGTCCTTATCTTTCGAACCCCGATTCCCTGTGCTAGTCGTATGCCGGCGATCAGTGCTTCGTATTCTGCTTCGTTATTCGAGGCGTGGAAGTTCAGGCGAAAACACTGCTCTAATATTTCTCCGGTGGGAGAGGTGAGGCGGATTCCTATTCCCGAGCCTTGTTTAGACGACGAGCCATCGACGTGCAGCATCCACACTTCGTCTAGTGTCGGCTCGTTTGTTGCTTCGACGGGAAGTTCAATGAGGAAATCTGCGAGCGCCTGTGACTTTGCAGACGGCCTGTTCCGATACTCGATGTCGTACTCGCTTAGCTCTATGGCCCACTTGGCGAGCCGACCGGATTGGCTAGGGCTGTGTAGGATCGAGCGCAGTGGAAGCGTAGCGAGCACAGCAATCGAATGTGATTGAAAGTACGGGCGCAGTTTCCGAGCCGAGACTACGACGGCTAGGGCAACCTTCTCGATCTGGGGGTAGCAAGTCTCGGCGTCGCTCAATGTCTGACTGATGTAGAAAATGGGCTTTTGCTCGGATCGTTCTTCTCTGATAAGCACTCTGCTTACAGCTGTAGCAGACACTGCGATGTAGAGGAAGAGCGGTTCTCCTTCGACTGGTTTTGCTAAGATTGGTGGGCTCGCTAGATAATCCTTCAATTCCTGGAAAGCCGTCTCGCATCGTTCGTCCCACTCAAATTTTTTGTTTCCTCGGAGGGTGTCGTAGAAGGGCAGGCATTTGTCTATGGAACGGGAAATAAACCTGTTTAGTGCGGCGACTCTTCCTGTGAGCCTCTGCACTTCGCGCTTCGTCCTTGGAGAGGGCATCTCAATTAAAGCTTTGATCTGCTTGGGGTTTGCTTCTATGCCTCGTGAGTTACCAGATAGCCGAGGAATTCTCCCGAGGTGATCGCGAACCTGCACTTTACCGGGTTTAGTTTCATGTTGTGCTTGTTCAATTGTTCGAAGCATTTCCGTAGATGCGCGACGTGGTCTTCCTCCTTGAGTGATTTGACTAACATGTCGTCGATGTATACCTCCATAGTTTTTCCGAGCTGAGCCGCGAACATTTTATTGACGAGCCGTTGATACGTTGCTCCTGCGTTCTTGAGCCCGAACGGCATGACTTTGTAGCAGTATATCCCGCGATCAGTTATGAATGCCGTTTTTTCTCGATCATCAGGATGCATTAGGATCTGATTGTAGCCAGAAAACGCATCCATAAATGTTAACAGTCTATTCCCTGTCATGGCTTCGACGAGCCGGTCTATGTGTGGCAAGGGAAAGCTGTCTTTTGGGCACGCCTTGTTGAGGTCGGTAAAATCCACACATACTCGCCACTTGCCGTTCTTCTTCTTCACGACCACCGGATTTGCGAGCCAGTCCGGATATTTGGCCTCGGCGATTGATCCTACTTTGAGTAATCTTTCGACCTCGTCGTTAACTGCTTTTGGCTCGTTCGGGGCCGAGCTTCCTTCTTTTCTGCTTCACTGGTTTAAAGGTCGGATCCACATTCAGCTCGTGACAGGTCACGTCGATGCTTATGTCTGGCATATCTTCTGCTGTCCAGGCGAAAGTGTTGATGTTTTCCTTGAGGAGGGAAAGGAGTTCGCTTCTCAGAGGCTCTTCCAGTTTTGTTCCTATTTCGACGCATCGCTCCGGGCGCGCCTCATCTATACATACCGAGTCCACTGCGTCGCATAATGGCTCGGCGCGTGTTTCGCGGCTCTCCGCGATCTGTAATTGCTATAAGAGTTTTGAGAGCTCGTTCGCGGGCTCTCGGTCTGTCTTCATCTTTTTGCGGTCGATGTCTACTCGTGCATCAGGGTCTAATCAAGGAGGTAATGACAATGATGATGAATGATCTCATCAGCTTAGGATTCAATTCAAGTTTCAATCTTTCTCAAGCATCAAAACACTAAACCAAACATTTGTCGTACCTAATCATCATTAGAGGCACAATGAAAGGAAATTATTAAACACAAACCCTAATATACCATCTATGCTCAAAACAACATTCCCATGTGAATCAAACAATAGACTCTTGACTTAGCTGGTTCAGGCATTCTATCAAACACCTTTTGGGTGCTCAATGGAGGACTTAGACTCTTCTTCAAGATGGATTACACAAGCTAGGAGAGATCCCTCTAATGTCATCCAGGGAATACCCTACGGCTTTTCTATACTTCCTAAGCTCATGCAACAGGGATTTATCTTCATGCTCTAACAACCTATCATTGATTATGATAGGATAAGATGCATTGATTCCAAGAAAAGCATACCTTAGGCCTTTTGGGAGTGGCTTGAGCTTTGTGTTCATCCCAGTCCCCCATGAAGCTCTCTTGATCAGCCTGAGCTTCATTGATGTTGGTGTCCTCAACCGGTCTAGTCTCTTCCTCAGCTTTCAAACCCACGACCATGCACTCTTGAACCGGTCCCTGACTTGTACTGAACCAACTGATACTTTGAACCACTTGGCTGTTTGTCTCCAGCTCCAAAATCTGAGTTTCTGATTCTGCTGGCTGGTGAGAATCAAGAAGCTTCATATACCCAAGGGAGTCATCCTCCAAGACCCATACTCTTCAAGAAGCTCATCAGCAAGCTCTTCCATGGCTTCTATATAGAATACATGACCATCACTGGTAGGTTTCTTCATGACTTCTTTGATATCAAACTTGAGGACCTCATATCTTAGATGGACATCTATCTTTCCTCCTCTTACATCAATTATGGCTCTTGCTGTAGCAAGGAATGGTCTCCCCAAAATGAAAGGATCTATAGGCTCTCCATCCATCTCCAAGACAATGAAGTCTGTTGGGACTTCAAAGTCTCCAATTTTAACAGGTAGATCTTCAAGGAGTCTAATGATGAGCTTAACTGATCTATCAGCAAGTACCAAAGATATTCTTGCAGGCTTGTAGACAGTGAACCCCAACTTCTTTGCAACTGAGAAAGGCATTAAACTCACTGATGCTCCAAGATCACATAAGCATCTTGCAAACTTAAGAGGACAATTAGTACAGAGCAATAAAAACTCCCTGAATCAGATAACTTCCTAGGGATTGTCCTTCTTTGAATTATTGCACTACACTCATGACTCAAGACCACCGTTCCTTGTAGTTCTCTTGAGTTGTTAAGAATGATATCCTTTAAGAACTTGCCAAGTTGAGGAACAATAAGAAAGGATTCTATAATAGGCATGGTGAACTGAGTCTTCTCCAACTGCTTATCATAAACAGCTCTAGCCTTCTCTAAGAGCTGCTTCTTGAATCTTCCTGGAAATGGGAGTTTGGGCTGATAAGGTGGTTGTGGCACATATGCTTTCTCAGGCACCATCTCCTTTGCCCCACCTTTTCCCTTGTCATTCTTTACAGCTTAGTCATCTAGTTCACTCCCTTCAGGCACCTCCCCCCCCCCCCCAAATTTCTCATTGTTCTATCAAAAGGTGATCTAGACGGTCCTCCATATGCAAGCCATGGAACTTGAAGTTCTGGACCATATTGAGGAGTGAGGCTTTGACTTCAAAATTGTTGTTTTCAACAGTGAAGCCTGGATACCTTTCCTGTTCTGGTGAGCATTAGCTTTGTCATTAGCACCCACAAAAATTGGATTCCTCACTTGAAGCTGGTGATTCCTTTGATGGTGTTTGTTCTCTTGGTTGACATGAGCCTGGTGCTCATTTCTAGCCGCCTGGTTCGGGTTTACCTGAGCCTGGTGCTCATTCCTGGCAGCCATGTTTTGGTTCACAAAGGCATGTGCCTCATTTCTGGCTGTCTGGTTCTGGTTCGCCTGGGCCTGCTGCTCTGCTTGATCCCCTTGTTGATCCATACCCAGCTGCTGAAGATGTTCTGCTCTCTCTCTTGCTCTTCTACCTCTTTTATCTAGTAGCTGAATGTTGTCAATGAAGGGCTCACAACTTCTGCTTCTTGTTCTATGCCTGTTGTTCATAAGCCTGAAACCTCAAAGACATAACTAAAGAACTGATCAAGACAAAAGAAAAGTGCTTGATCTCAAGATGGATTCAAAGACCAATACTAGATGCAATCACACAATGGCAACGGCGCCAAATTGAAACAAGATCTTTTTCAAGCTCTTATGGTTCAATTCCGCTTGTCTATTGTAGCACAAAGAGGTGTCAAATCCAATGTGTAATATCTAGATACCAGAATGCATGAGTTCAGTCTTAATCCAAGCAAGCGATTAAGCCCATTTCTGAAGCCCGTATCATTTTTCCAGCCTCAATTCTGGAACCCTAGACACCAGAAAGTATTGGAGACTATAAATACATGTCATTTAGGTCGTTTTTAAAGAGAGAAGAAGAGAGACGAAATAATTTACAGAAATTTTACTTTAAGCTTTGTTTTTAGGTTTTAGGGAGAGAGAGATCTGTCTCTTGAACCCTTGTTCTTTCTTTTTCAATTTCGGTTTCTATTCTACTTTTTAATACTATGTTTTTGATTTCGTTCATTATGTCTGAGTAGTTTTATTGTTGGGATTAAGGGATTTTCGATGGGGATTTATATGTTCGGTGAGGATTCCATGAGCTTTTGAGCCGAATGTTAGAACTTTTTCTTCTGAATTCGTTTTTACTGCATGAGAGTAGCGTCATGAACTACAATCTGATCCAGATTCTTGGTGACACGAAAGTGTTCATCCGGTGTCAGATCTAGTTTGGGAGAGCAAAACAAACATAGGAGTGG